TTTTTCCCCCCAGTTACAGGGGGCCCCCTCCCCCCCCAAAAAAAAAAAAAAACAGGATGATCTCATGTATATCTGGATGATTCTCGAATGCACTATAGGTCTACACAAAATATTCGGTTGTGTTAATGTTAAGCGGAAGCAATTCAGATGGTTTTTTTCAATCGTATCTCCTTGTGATTATGTGATAGGGTATCTCCGAACTTACCGGTACGATAGGTCTTAAGGCTTTCGAAGAGATGTCAGTTTCATGATCACTAGGTTCTTCCAAAAAGGGCTGTGGCTAACCGAAATTGTTAGCTGTCTCATTCGTTCTGCGGGGCCTTTGTAACACGACTTTCCGTATATCAGAAGGTAACAACTTCACTCCAAGAATTCACCACGGTGAACTTATAATTTCACCAGACTGCGTCCGCGTTGGTCGTTAAGGTGTTCATGTAAGTCATATATCGATTATTGTCTCCAAAACTCGGCTTGAGTGACACTTGAATTGGCATTGTTCATGCTGATGCGTTAAAACTGAGTGTAGGAAAATTAATCTCTCTCTCCTCCGCACAAGTAACACGACAGTGGTGGTGGTGGCTTTAGTGTTAGCCGAACAAAAATAGAAACAGCCTTAAAGTCACTTTACAGAAAAGCAAAATGATTACCATAGTGGGGAGATTTTCCAGGAAGGGAATATGATTGCGCAAAAAACGCAACAGTACGGGACAGAGCGTAGAACAACAAAGTCAATGATGAATAAGTAGCTCAGCTGGAGAATATATTCACAAGAAGAGTGAAACTCACATCTGCGAATTCGTTACTCAAGGAGCCAATCAACAAATGTGACCACGTGATGTGAGTGAAGGAAGGGGGAGGCTAATCCTGTATTAGGGAGAGCTAATCCCATTGTCGAATCGTTGTGTTCAATATACTGACCTTGTGGACGCAGGTTCGAAAACCTCTGAAGTTGTGTGAAATGCGCACTACTGATGAGTTCCAATGGGATCTAAGCAGCCGTGTAATGCTTCACGGCTTTTCAGCAAAGATTGGCTTCACTTGCAAGACAAAAGCTTCTGTAAAAAAAACGCGAATATTCTTACTCTACTAACAAATGACATCACTAGTGACATAAATGCATCACTACCGTTCAACCAAAGTCTGATTAGTTAATTTCAAGGCCCTAAAGGGAAAAAATAGGAAAGAATGGATGTGGGAGGGTATGGGATGGCGCACTTTAAGCACTTGGAGGTAACTGCACCCCTAGTACCTAACCGGGCAATCTGGAAAGAGAGTGACAGCATGGATGCCACTACTTCTTTCAGTGTCTTCAATAAAGCGTATTCGGGACCAACTCTTTGAAGGCGGACCGCACAAAAACTCTTCGTAATCTCTTTCATACACTGCAGCTGATAGTGTTGGATGTTCTCTGCGACTGAAGAACGAGTTTTTAATGACCCCGTATCAGGAAGGTCAGATTCCTGAAAGCAACTTCAGAACGCCCGGAACCTACTGCTCCACCAAAAACTCAATTGGAAAGCCGGCAAGCATCCAGGCCAATCAATCATTCAATCAATTCAGCAAGACCTGATGAGTGTTCTTGCGGCCACAGAAGCACGGCCGAATGTGATCAGCGTTCAGGCTTTTCACAGAGGCACGATCGATGTTGATGGGTGATCACTAACGCCTATCAGACAGCCTGGATCAATGTCAGAAAGTCCCCTTTAAATAGCGTGGGGCCGTTGTAACTTTTGCTCTCTCACTCACTCGCTTGTTCGGAATACAGCTGTTGTGTTCCCTTCTGTGAGTCTTTTCTCTCCGACACTAGGCACTGGAGCGGGTCAGCAGCAGATACCACAGATTGACGAATCAGCAGATATAACACCCCGTGACGAGTCCTTAGACGCCATTCTACATCAGAGGCGTTTCTGATGCCTCAGTGGTGATAAACGTGAAGACAGCTCATCTCATTTCATCTGCCATCTCGTAACCGGTGGGTATTCGGGAAGCCGATTCTGGTAGATTTGTTTCATTTTTGGGTCCACCAGCTTCTAGATGGCTAAGTAAGTTTTGCGGGTTTTTCGTAGACCTCAAAAGTGCGACAAAAGGCAGCAGCAGACGAATGTACCATCTAGGTCCAGCCAATTATCCGAGAAGGAGTGGCAAATAGTGATCGACCCTCGCCACAGGGAACTGATAATCATAGAGTCTGTTTGGATTCGGGGCGATTCGCTTGCGGGCACAGTATTGTCAAGCTGTTCTGGAAGTTGGCACTACAAAGGAGCGGTTTGTGGCTGACATACATGTGCATCAGACACTCTCCCTTGTTCGTGCATCTCGTGTCCAACCCAAGGCGACCGCCCAGTTGGGTCCCAGGAGCGCTTGGTCTACCTACATGAGCGTTTGTGTTGCCAACAACCACAGCGGTCTGAGCTTTGTAAAAGAACGCCAAAAACATCATATAAATTCTCCCTGGCCGAATCAGAGCTACAGTCCGTTGGGGTGTAAGCAGACAAAATGAAAGGGCAGTGATGAACCTCACTTTCTCGAGATTCTTTCACAGTGGCTGTGAAACCAACCACGCGGGAGCAACTATCAACAGGTATCCAATCAAGTAGAGACGCCTACCTTAGATATTTCAACACAATATATACCCCGCCGAATTCGGCTGCACCGGCCTCCACAGCATTGGAACTCCGCAGCCGAAACCTGGAAGATGTCGAAATGGCATTCAGTTCATTAACAGTATTTGTGTCCAGTACACTTGTTCCTGATACCTCATTGCAGAAGGAATCCAGCGTAGAAGCAAGAGCCGTTTGTTGTCCTGGTTGCCTCGGTATGCGAAATTGAATGCAGCTAAGTGGACCGACCCTCGGGTTTCGAAAACATATCTTGAGGTGTTTCCGTCTGTTAGAGAAGCGTGATGCACCGCTAACACACAAGGTCAGTCCGATTGCCGAGGCCTGAAGAGAGACAGCAGGAGTGGAATGGGGTAGAAGAGCGAATACGTGGAGGTATACGAAGCAAGGCGTCAGCAGTAACACGTAATCGCTCACCTGCTCATATGTGTGCGGGAAGTAAGGTGCCCTGGCTAATGACGCCAAGCGACCGCCGATGTGGCATAAAAGTAATTTTAGCTATACGCGGGCTCAAAAGCCTAACGGCAAGGCAGCGGGTGAACCGTTGAACAAAACCGATTTAGCATTTTCCCAGTGAAAATGTCATGATCAACCGATAAACAGTCCCCTCAAAGTAATGTACTACTCATAAGGTTGCTGAAAATCCGTCGACAGCCCACGACCGGTTCCGCCGTTTTTGGGTAGGCTCATCAGGTAGGCACAGTCCCCGGGTTTCCGTTAACCTTATGTTCTACTCGAAACCAAATTGCACGAAATTAGCGAATATACACTCATTTGCAGACTAATTTGGTTTTGACGGGAGACTCACCTAGAACCCAGCTGAATCTCTCGTTTGTGATGTTCTCAGGCAACTAAATGTGCTGAAACTGAATGTCCCCTGAAAGACTGACCACACACCACTGAAATCCTGTTTCTCCTGTCATTTGTGTTTCCGTTATTTTGTTCCAAAAAACGTGGCCCACAGCTCGAGATAGTTTAGTGGTTAAGGTACGAATTTACTGATCGGAAGCTGACGTCGGCATCTTGACTGCCCCTGCCTGAGCTCGATCATCCTGGCAGTATATCAGCCTTCCTTCAGGTAGCACGGTAGCTTGGCATCAAGACATCAGTTACAGTTGAACGACAGCAATCCAGTAATGATAACTTATAGAATTTCTGTTCTTGACATCGTTTTATCATAAATAATCAAGTCAAACAACAATCACATAGTGCGCACAAGCTGTTAGACCTCGCTCGTCCGGCGCACTAGTTCACCGTGGTCTTTCGAAAATGTATTCAAAGTTTTGCATTAAATTTACGAATTGAAATCAGACTGATGTCAAATCTTTCGCAAATTAGGAACTTCCGGATCCCATTGCTGAGGCGCACGGTCCTTTTCCTGTTTACGTGGTACATCTACGACTAACCGGTCACTAAACCATGCTTTTTTCTCCCGGCTTTTGATGTCATCATTTTAAAAACTCTATTGATAAAATAAATGGGTTATGCCCAACCACAGATCACGTGCGAGTGAAGGTTTACTCGATCGCCTTGTGAAACCACTACAGCAGACTGAGCATTGATCTTGCTCCATGCGAGCAGGAACAGCTCCCAAAATCCTTGGAGGTGTGGCCACTATGAAGCGTAATAATGCTTAGGAAAGTTGGACCCACCAGCTACTGAATGTCGGTAGGTGGTAGAAAACTTACGCTGGTTCAGTGGCTCTAATCGGCGTACATAGCCAGATAAATAGCCTCTACCAGCGAGATAGGTCGCTCAGTGTATCTCCAATCAAGGGACCCAGTATTTCCGTATTCATTGTCGTAAAAATACTTTCCAACATGTGAGTTTCATGGACCCATTCATCTTCGAAACAGACAAGTTATTAGTTGGTGCAAATAGTTTTGGCAGTTGGTCTTTCCATTCTCTTCTTGGAATTACTATTCGGTTGGTGAGTGTCTTGGGGCGCCCGCTTTTGTGAAGGCGGGGCCCAAGTTGCAATAAATCTGTCTAATTCCATCAATTTTACAATTTCCGTTGACAGGCGAATGAATGCATCGTGTTTCTGTATTCAGTTCTAATTTCGGAAACTGCAGTACGTTTTTTCGAAAGTGCGTATGTACTTCTTTCCAAAAAACGTCTGGAACGATTACTGAAGACACTGTAGTGAATTGGACAGTTTTCTTTCAACTTCACAGTCCTAGACGCTCTTGACTTTGGGGCTGTAATAAAGCTTATTTGATATTTTATTGCCTTTTGCTGGCTGACTGCCTTTCAGTTAGAGGTGGGCTAGATCGTTTTCTGCACATCAGACAGCAGACTTGTGGCGTGCACATGCGACCACACCCCACCGCGTACGTGCAACAAATCGGCCGTGATACAAAAATCAATCAATGAAGACGAAAACAGAGGAATAACTGAATTTCGCTCACACCGCTTGACCCGATGAATATGCATTTATGAAACGTTGTCATTGGCCAAATCATCACTTATGGGATGTACTCAGTCCACGGATGATAGTCGTGACAAGGTTAGTGAAAACATTCATACGTTAAATTAGCCCTGTGTTATTGATTAGATCCGAGTGTTTTAGGAAGTAACGCTGAGTCACTGCGAAACACTCTCCTGCTAGCTTGTTGCAAAGCTGCACTTTACACGGGATGTTCAGTGCTGCAGCTCAAAGATACTGGGAGAATGTGTCGATAATACCGCGCGGCTGTTCACTCGTTCAAGGTCGTGTCCCTAACGCGTCTATTGGTTGGTGCAACCATCGAATCACTAATGTGTTCACCAACTGGTCGATACGATGAAACGACGCAGCGGCTGAGCCTCAGCTGAATGTTGGGTGAGCGAAATTCGGGTTAGTGTTCTAAGTTAGGTCTGGTTTGGACAGAGGGGGGAGCAGAGTTGTGCGTGTTTTCTGATTGTGTTTTTTTTTCAATTCCGCTGCAGGCCTACGAGGCTGGAAAGTGTGGAAGCGCTGTCTAGGGACGATCGACCATTACTGTGTAAACAATGGCGTATGATTAATGTTACATCAAACTCCAAATGATGGAATATACAAATGAGTCTTAGACCGCATTTCCTGCTGCAAACAGCATCAATGAATGAACCTTCTGTCACACTCCAGAGTTCAAAGTTGATTGGCAATTTAACTCTCCGTGTAGCACTCGAAGCGAAACGCGATGAGGATTGGTGATGAAAATACACATCTTAGTGTTATATTCCCTTTACTATGTTTGAATCCTACGAGAGGATAAGCGGCGGTGGACGTTGCGCATTTTCTAACCATAACGTACACCAGACTCACGTGATCCCAAAGGTCGAATTCTCTGGTCCACTAGCCAAAAGGCCCTTCGTTGCACCTAACCAGTTGACTGGATTTCCATATGAAGAGCAGGGACTGAAAAACTGTCCCACAGGGGCATGAAGGGCCAACTAACCAAAATGTTTCTTTTTTGCCTACATCATACATGCTCCACTATAAAATTGAATTATGGTAAAGAAAAAGCTAGTCATCCAAATGGAAACAGTTCACGCAGTCCACAGACTAGCTCCAAAATGCAATGTCCCCCCCCCATAATGACCTCCAACGTGTCACGTGAGTTAGGTGGGCATAATACGGAGAGACCAACAGACTTAAACACGAAGGCCAGAAACGTCACTTAGAGAACGAGTCGCTACGAGACTGGTAGATTTCATTCTTTGTGTTTGGATGGTGCGTGGTAGACTGTGCTATCTGGCTGGGTACAGCCTGGTAATCGCCTGGTGCCCAACTCTCATCTGTACATGTCAGCAACAGCCACAAATCTTGGATGGATAAGGAGCAACAGAACAACCGATCGCCACCACAATCGTCCAAAATTGTCTTGTGATAACTGAGTCGTCACAAAATCGGACAGTGTGAATCACCATATGTTGCACTGTTGGCCAGGTTAGTCACAACATCTTTTCACGTTTCATCTATGCGCCGTCTAGAAGAGTAGTATGTCAAGGGGTGATTGCATAAAACAACTCTGAACTTCGAATGTTTTCGGTTGGGTAGTCTTCAACTTGATAGCTCAAACGACATGGCTCTGAGAGTGGTTTTGATGTCTTGGGTCGTTCTTGCTGTATTCCTATGGCACTGTTGATATGAAGTAATAATTTTATCAGCCGTTAAGAAACCCTTCTGGAAGGTGATATGACTGTGCAGTGGCCGTTATAACATGTCAGTCTACTTGAAAGCAATAGGATTGGAGATCCGAGACAGGACTACTTACTTGATGGAAAGGCAATTATGGTTCATCGGTCTAATGCTTGATCGCGACCTCGGTGCCAGAAACTGTGAAAAATAAAGACGAATAGGATTGGTTTACAAAACCACTTGGTTATACGCAGCATCCCAGCATATGTATTCTAGTCCATGCATCCCTCGACTAGAAGCAACTGCTACCGAACCTTTAAGCGGTTTCATTCATTGGTTGAGAAAGGGAGCAGATACTTTAAACTTCCATCGTGAGGACAAGAGGCTTAAGGAAGTTGTTCTGCTGTCTTAGCTTGTGACTATCAGAGGTGCAACCAAAACCCTCGTAAATATAACTCAACAAAACTGAAATCCTTCTCGAAGCTGGGATGAGGGAATCGGTTCCACAAACAACTAAACTAGTCTGACTGCAAGTCAACTGGTTCACAACCTGCAAACATGTCTAGAGTCTCAGTACGTCTCTGTCTTTATAGGCCACATGCAAGTGTATCGTATGGGAGGTATGAGAATGCCTTCTGACGTTGACAATGGTACATACAAGGAAGAGTTCTTTCCTTCGATTTCAAGATCGTGCGCTCATCTACGACTGCTCAAAGTCGAATGCGAGAGCAGACACATTCCAGAAATTCGCGTAAACTAATTGACCGTCATAAATGATAAGTCGTTAGTTCTTTGCGATAACGCATACCCGTTCTGATTCCGATGGATGATGGTTATCCCTGTCTGATTTACAATAGGTGGAGGTTTGGAAGCTTCAGACAATAGAATTCGGCGATATACCACCATATTTCAAACGTTTACAACACCACGCAATCTTGCTTGTCGAATGGTACCTAAAGTTCTTCGATCGATAAACCTGTGATGAGACTAACTACAAGAAAGCGTATTCATCCCCAGCATGTGTGCTGCTCATGCAAGACAAACTAGCTTTTCGAGAGGATACGATTCTTTCCGTGACTATTTGTCTACACCAACCTTGACACCACATCCAAGTGAACCAGGAATAGAACGGGTGGTAGTATAGCAAAAACTGTTCTCTAACAGCGGTAGTTTGCACAGGTTTCTTGTTCTTAAACGACTCAGCAGGTACCGGGTGGATTCATGCAGATGTGAGTTCACCTTTTCTGGCTTGTCCAACAATGGTGTGTACTACGCATGACTAAATGGATAACCAGATCGGTGGATTGACCAATCGGTTCCCAGCACACTCTTCAGATCAATAAGTCTGCATACTGTGCTAGTAAAGGTCGTGCAACACAAGCAGACAGGCTAGCTGTTCACTGCATGGCTGTGCCCTGGTTGGTAAAACGAATGCTGTTACCCGAAATGATGCCTTCTAGGCCCGTTATTTTTGAAACCCCGAGGCTAAAACGGGCTTTTCCACTCTGAATGGGACGGAAAGTCAGAATCATTAGGTTTGCGTGAATAGGATTGTTTCTAGAAAGCCATGCCAGTGTAATCCTCTTTCAGAGACAACTCCCAAACGACCTATCAAAATCGCTGTCACGTGTGTACTCTTTCCATCTTCACATTTTCACGTACATTTTCACCTTTAGGTCTGAGTTGCAATGCGAACATGTTTCGAGCGTTTGCACACACTGAATAACTTCGAAGATTATTGCGACCTCGCAAACCCGGGCGAGTCTAGTTCTTCGGAATTATGATCCATTCCATCAGGTTTACGAGTGTTTTCTGCAAACCAAACTGATGAATCTGTGCCAACTTAACGATGGTAACATGGGCTCCTCACTGCCGGATTTTCGTCAGACAGACTCAAGTTGGTGACATGAAGAGACACCCTAGAAACTCTGTCTGACGTTCTATTTTTACCCGGTTAATGGAGTGCTTGCGCAGGTCTTATCCGTTAGTAAAACCACTCTAAAACCGAGAAATACTGTACGGCTTTTTCCTCCCTATTAGGAAACATCAGCAGTGCGCATCTCAAGGAACTCCAGGGAGTTTAAAACACGTGACCTCGCAGCTAGTGGCTACAGGATATGAATTAACAATGTGATTAACTCGCACATGGACAGGATTTGGCGTCACTCATCCATAAATCATCACTCACATCCACATCACGTGGTCACACGGGTTGATTGGCTCCTCAAGTGAAGACTGCTCAAACGGTACTTCCACTCACTCTTTGGAAGACGCCTTCAGTTCACTGTCGGACACTGTATGCATGATACGAATTAGCATATTGTGCTGACATCTTGTAAGACGGCGATACGCAACCAAACAACCGAACTTATGGAACACGGTGCCTCCTCTGATATTGTTCTCAACAAATAAAGTAAATGGGTTTTTCGCATCTTCCCGTAACTATGACATAATGGAACCCCTATTAGTTGTTGCCTGAATGTGTTTGCTGTCGTTTGTTCATTCACATCAGGCCTGCCGTCGTCACAGAATAACCCAGTGCGGCTATCTACAAGGAGGAGAATGACAGTATACCAAATGTGGTAGGCTCAAAGTAGTTGTTACATTGTTTTCCTTATAGTAACAATGTAATAATAACAGTAATAATGCATTAGTTTTCCCTAATTGGCTCGAAACTAATCGAATGATTGTCAAAAATTCCCTGAAGCGGTTGCGAGAATGTCTACTGTAGAGGAGAATGTCGGTAGCTCAGGTAGCGTAGATGGTCGTTGGCTTGTTCGCTGAGCTGGGCAATTCGGTTGGAAACGTTTCATCACCAATCGAGGTGACATCATCAGTGCGTAGTTGTGCGTAGCGGTGGGTTAGTGTTTGTGCTAATTTTTGTTCAGATCCTGTCGGTGTCTGAAGAATGAAGTGTCCCACGGCACAAAACTACATCAACCCGGTTACTATGGTCCAGGAATAGTCAGATGCACCCAAATTCTCGATATCTGAATAGCTTTGTGGTATCTTTTATCACGTACCAAGACACTTCAGACACTCGTGTATTGTGTGGCTGTCGTGCGTAATACGTTATATCAAACCTAGGAACGCCGGCCTAGTTTGCACAATTTCGGCATACCGATATGTCCCCGTACGGGAATCCCCGTAACCGTATTTCCTTTGTGATTTTATGAGCAATCCCCGGCAACATAATATGAAAAAGGTGGTTTTCACAGACCTGCGCTTTCGTGACAAATGAAAACTACTGTATAAAATGGCACGGAAAAAAGCTGCTTCTCCTTTCGCGTGTGGCTCTCGTACGAGATGGTGAATCTACCGTCTGCTAGATAACCGGATCATGAAACCATCATCTCTATCTGGAGGGTGTACTACCAAGAGGTTCGACCCCCCTTTTGCATTTTTCTCAGCGGCAGACTCCTAAGGGATTCCAAGATATGCTCTATTCGACAAATATGCTGTGCATGTGAAATCTTGTGGTGAAAAATAAGGGTTTATTTATTCATGTGGGAGGGAACTTGTTTGAATAATTCGTCTAAACCAATGTGAAGATGCGTGTCGCAAGATTTGACAACGAGAGTCGTCATTCCCCTGGGTATTATTCTGGATGCATATATGCAGCATCGTCGGGGGTTGTACGTGCGCTGGGATACCGCCAAGACGCCAAAACAGGGGACAATCCAAACCTTTGACTCAAAATCCCAACCGCAAGACAGAGGTGATTGACATGAGACCGTCAGAGCATAGCATAACATCAGTGTTCAACGCTGACGCTTCGCTGCCATATGATCATGATTTATCTGGAGGCCTTTCTATGAAGATAAGAATGAAAGTGAATGGGCATGGGACGTAGTACTAGCCTGTCTCAATCATTCCGAACACTCATTCAGGCAATGTGAATAACTAACAACAACAAAAACCAATGAAATCGATTAGCGGTCACATGATGCAGCCTCTCAAACCGAGCAAAGTGAGGATCACGTGGGCCCCATCCTGAAGTGTGAGTAACACCGAAAGCAACCAGACATTTCGTAAGATCTTTCATACCCCTCTGTCAGGTCATAGGTAACCCGACTCATTGTTTCCGACACTCTGGAATGAGCACGATAAACACCACTCTCTTGGGTAAACCATGATTCAGTATGCGCAATACATAGCCTAACTAATGCAGCTTTTGATGCTAAACGCACTCTTCGGTTCGGGTCCCTGTTGCTCAACCAAAAGCTTGCTCTCTAACGGCTTAGATACGGATCCGCCGACACGGTTGTCGACAACGGTTGTCCAAGACCTGAAGACGTCTCAGTTCCGCTGCTCGAACAGGCCATGTTACATCCATACAACAAAACAGACCGTAATGTAACCTCATACACACGTCCATTGAGATTCAGGGATATAACGCTTTGCGGCCAGTAGTGTCTCAACTTATCAAAAGCAAAGCGAGCCTTGGAGATTCGTGCGCTGACCTAGTCTGTTAAACTAAAATCGGAATTAATACAACTTCCAAGGTATGCAGAACGTCCTGCAAATTCGAGAGCCACCCCGGGATCGTAAGTGATGCGTTCAGTAACTGCATGTCTGGGAGCATGACCTTGCATATTGTGGATGGAAGGTACGTACCAGAGGACCGGATGACTTTGGTCACTTCATCCAAAAACACCTGCGCCTTCTCGTCCGATGTCGTCTGCGTACTCTAGATCGACAAAGTTTTCGTCAGCAGCTATCTGAACACCAGGGTTCCGAAGACCTCGCAGTGTTCATCTCATCATTTCATCGATCACGAATTTAAATAGGAATGGAGAAGGTGGACATCCCTGATGGACATCGGTTTGTGTGCGAAAGCCTTTGGAGGACTCTCCGTATACTCTCCGACGTCCGAGATTCTGAGAATACAAACAATTCATTATGCTCACAAACTTCCGGAGCATTCCTCAACTGGTAAGCCTGGTAAGGAGAAAAGATCAGCCAAAGGTGTAGGTTGTTTATGTGTATGGCGCTGTTCGAGCACCTGATGTAGTGTAAATATTTGGTCACCGCAAGCCCTCACGGTGTGGAATCGCGGCCTGCAAAACGAAGGAAAAGGCGACTCCGGACGAGCGCACGGTCGAAATCCACAAATGTTTTCCATAACCAGCGACAGTCTGTCATTGGTCTGCGCCACCGGCAACTAGTGGCAATTGGATTAATTTGGGTTCGCGGCTGGAATGCGGTTGGAGGACACCATGTGACCAGACTACGTCGATTAGTTCGGAGCTTAGTACTGCATAAAGACGGTCAGAGGTCAGCACGTAGCTGAAGCGATTGCTCGTCATTATCTGTGTGTACCAAGTCCAAGCCATGTCGATCACTTAATTGTGTTCACCTGTGCAATCACATCTCCGGCAGCCACAATGGTGTTTGAGCTTCTAACTCGCCACAATTGGGTTTTCCAGGTGTCATAAAAAATGTCTTTGATTGTGTTAGACCCACAGTAGGTTGGGACATAAGCATACACGACAAACAAACATCGATCAACTCTCTCGTGAGACCTTTCACAAATGAACCACACAGAAGCAGTCATCAATGAATATCCTTCCTCCAAGTGGTTTAGGACGATGTCTAGCTCAGTACATCCCACCGCAGCTGCCCGTCAATCGTCGGAGGTGCGTACTAAGAAGCGAGCGGAGAGTGATGGAGCAGTTGGCTCAGTCACTGTGTTTGCATCCTGGTTTCATGTTTTACTGCATAGCACACCTCAAAGTCAAGTGAGTTCACTATGATAGCAAGAGCTTCAGATAGCGAACATTAAAAGCGGTTAGATAGCCGTTTGCTGAGGCTGTCGGTTTCTTCCGAGCCACAAAACGCCAGTTCCAACGGATAAGGATACAAAGAGAGTGGTATTAATGGAGAGAAACAGAAGAGGGCATCAACAGCTTACACGTCCTAGTGAATGCAGCGAGTAAGGCAACAGAACTGATGACACCATACCTCAGTCAATGTGGCTCACGGTTGTACGCGGTCCGGCATATTGCCAAACCGTTCAAACTTAGACCGTAAAACTATAGTCCTCAATCCTCAGTTTACAGGTTTAACTGCAAAGCAACGATATTTTGGAGGAAAATGCAGATGCATTACGATTTTCATAGAACAAGTCATCAGGCATGTCCAAACTCCAGGCTGGATTTCCAGGAGACTGTCAGACCTCTATCAACGTATCAACTGGATTACGGAGGTGCACAAAACGCCACACAGCGTTAAGGGGCAGTATCTTCGGGAACTGCTGATATACGCAGAGTAGGATGAAGGAGTACACTGTAATCCACGTGCATCCCTCATTGTCAGACAACTGAAATGACCTTCTGGCTCGAGTAGCTTTGGGATGCCGTCCCAATCAGGTGTTCTGAAAAGTGCGCTACTTGTGTCATGACACGTGATGATTACGATCCACCGCGATGGTGTCCACGAAAGTTGTGCACCCATAAGCTATGAACTGTAGTACCCTTTCGGTTTCTAGCTGTCATGCTACCAGAAGGAAGCACCAGGGACGGGATACTTCCAGGTTGTCCAAGCCTAGACAGAGAAAGTCGAGGTGCAGAGGTCGAATTCGAACCATCAACATTCCGGTCAGCAAATTAGCGCCTTGACCACTGAGCCACAGCTTCACCCTGTGTGCCCGATCACAAGACAACTCAAGTAGAATCCACCGATGACCCGAATAGCTTGATAAGCATGGAAGACGAAGAGTATCCTTCCATAAATGCCACGACAAACCAGATGTTCCATATTCTTTTTTCACTGTTTGCTCCTTGTATGTATTTTTCTATTCACCGGGGGCAAATGCGGGTATTTATTCACTTTCACGTCAGATTCACTCAACAAATCAACGGATGACCGATGTCACTCGTTCTCTACGATCATGGTACTCAGCTTTCGTTCGGTTGTACTCGAGTAACAACTGTCCGATGTATAGTTCACATCATAAAAGTCGGTTTGTGTGAAAAAAACGCGGTAAAAGCGTGGCTCAAATTGTGTGCCAACCTTAGAGAGGGCGTATCCAAGGCAACCTCAAGTCAGAGCTTTCCCGGGACAGCTTGCTTTTCGTGGGATTAACTGACGTTTGGGCGAAACAATTCAGTCGAAGTAAATCTCAACCGCAAAGCGGTTTACGCAAATTGTGAATATGGAGTTTTATTTCGGTATTGCCGGTTGGGGAAAACCAGAGTAGCCAAAATGCTTAGCTGAGTGAACAAATGCGGTAGTCATCTAACGGCATAGTGTTTTAACATTGACAACATGATTACGTAAACAAGACGATCGTAGTTCACTTAATTGCATTGCGTTACGTCATTAAGCTGTAATTTGTAGCGACTAGTTTAGCCACAGTCCCATCCGATGAGATTAGCGGCAGATTCACATTCGTTTCACCCCAAACCGGTCATTATGTAACCAGGCAACTCATTGGGGGAACTACAAACAAGGAAAAATGTATCCCGGGGCGCTATACATGAAAACGCTTTTTCTAACAAAACGTTTTTTTGAAAGTTTTATCAATACTCATGATACAAACTGCCCTCGGGTCTGCGAAACAGGCAGTTATCCACGTTAGCCTACAAAGCCAGTCAACCATTTTGTGTTCCACTATTCCCCAGTTTCTAACCATTTTCGATCCCATCTGAGTGATGAGTTTCTGAAGATTCCTGGTACCTTTTGCACTGCCACAACAAGCAGTATGTGTAAGACAAAGGCAAGATTTATCACCGTCATGATAGCAGCCTCAGTCAGTCTTGAGCGGCAAACGTTTCAGCAACAAGCTAACGGAATCACATTTGAATTATTGATCTTCATACATGAAGTGATATGAAATCTCAAGTGCGCGAAATAATACCAGAAATCAGTGCTTCTGTTAGCTCTTTGGAAACCTCTTTTTAGTAAAGGAAAGTAATGGGGTTTATAAGCATTGGTTGTTCAGATTTGTTTGATTTTTATTGGTTCATTAGTTCTTCAAGCTTGGCTAGATTCGCAGCTAAAGCGAAAGAGTCCTAATTGATGGGCAACCTTGGACTAGGTTGAAATTTGGTTGTACTGTGTGAGACACCCCGATGATTGGTCGATAGAGCTCGGACGTTCATTGGCTGATCATGTTCCCTTGTAGTGCATTACGGTCACCACAGGCTATGCATCGAAATCTACCTCTATAATACCTATAACAATAATATGAAATTGCTTGTGCTGTCTGCAGCGTGGTTTTCGCCTAATGCTCTGGAAGTCGACGTGGGAAAATTCGACGAAGCGCGAGTAAATGTGGTCCTGAAGTGTTCTTGCGCGTTCTTGCAAAACTGCTAGCTTAGCTCGTGAGTACGAATGTTAGCAATGACGGGGACAGTGACCCACCTTACGAGGGTTTAACCGCTGTGGAATTAGTTGATGCCGTCCAGTATGTGCGAATGTTTGCACTCGACTCGGTTTTGCAACTGGGGGTCTGTCGGAGCTTACTTGGAATTTGATGTTCATGTAGGAAGTAGGTTGCTGGTGGTTTTGGGATTTTTTGTGGACATTTCGTCCCGTAGGTAAAGCTTATCCTTTTCTGGAAAGCCGAGAAGCACCGTACAGCTGTTTCATCCTTACTGAGAATTACCAGCAGTGCGTATCTCACGAAACTCCAGAGGGTCTCGAGCTCGTTGCCTCCCGGCTACAAGTTTGAACTCTTAATTATTCGACTATTGGTGGCTGAGCGGCAGTGTGACTTACTCACACTTAGTTTGATGCTGATTTAGGTCCACCTGATGGGTCTGGTCCACATGAGTACAATGGATTTCCTATTACGTGTCCGCATTGGAGGCGAACAACAGCTACAAGATTAAGATGTCAAAATACAACGGACGGAGGGAGTGTGGAAAAACAGTTCAACTTCTCTGAACACCGGAAGTGGAAACACCTGATCGATTCCTAATTCAGTTTCTGGAATTACGCTTTAAATTCTGATTGTAGATATCTAGCAGACCTATTTCAAGCTGTGTAAGATAAACTTAGTCATTTCTCTTTAGATAATTTGTGCTTGAAAGCCTAGAA